AGATGAGCTCTTTCCGAATTTGGCTGGGGGTATGTGTACCCTTTTTTACCTCGGCCCCGGAAGGAGGAACTTCGTCGGCAGCCTGGTCCCACCTTCTCCGCTCACTAATGGCTTGTCGGCCTCCCTGCCCTCAGAAGGGGCGGTATGCTTTCCAACCCTCCTCATTTTCGGACTGCCGAACGTTCCTAGCAGCTTAGGCCTGCCAAGCCACCGTGCGCATGTAGGCCTGGCCCCACCACTGGACTCCAGGGTGGGGGGGCGGCGTCTTCGACTCTATGCAGATTCTTGGTTGGCTCGTGTCTCCGACACTTGGGTCCGGGAGCTGGGTTCTTCGGGCTAGAAGATCGGATTCCTGTCCCGTCCAGGGAACAGGTTTTTCCCGTCAACACACTGCTTTCCTCTCCGCGCTTGGCGGATCTCCACCACGCTGTGGCGGACCTCTTGTCCCAGGGGGTGCTCGTGCCGGCTCCGGCCTTGGTAAGGTTCAAGGGGTGTTAATCCAGCCCCTAGGCTGTCTTTGTCTCTTGTTATGGGCCTAGCGTCCTTCTCCTGCAGGTGGCGATATACCCTACCATTCAGGATCTACGATCTGTTGCCCTGTGTCCTTCAATGAACAGAGAGAAAAGGATTTTACGGTGAGTACAAAAATCCTATTTTTCCTAACCATATACAAATTTAGTATCGGTATAATTATTATGCACTCTATGAGCTCCTGTTAAGTGACTTTGCCTTGGCTAAGATGATGTCATCAGTCTGCTGCAGGTAGGAGGAAGCATTTCCTTAGGCTCCTCTCCCCCAGTGATCAGTCTGCTGCAGGTTGGAGGAAGCATTCCTTCTGTCACATTGCCCCCCCAACTGACTCCTTCGATCAGCTGATTGAGGAATGCTGGGCCAGCAGCAGCACCCACGTTACGAATTTTGGCCATAAGGAACCGATCGAAGTTTGAACAATGTATACCCAACTTCAGGTTTGTAGCTGGTCACAATGTGAGAGGCTGCAGTGGGGGCTGATCTGTGTCAGACCTTTTTGATCACAATCCACAACTCAACAGGCTCCGGGATTTACACAAGTGCCATCTCAGAGTCCACTACTTAGTCCTGGAAGTAGATGGTGACCCTGGATGATGTCTGAACAAAGACTGGACTTTTGGGAGAAAACACTGTAGATAAAGGCACTATTGAGGGGAGTCCTGTGATCTCTGAGTGATAATAAATAACCTGCAAGTGTCACCCTTACAAATTACTAAGATGGTAGGCCCACTTTAAAGATCTAGCATTGTTGACCTTCCTTGGGAAATGCTGGTTAATTAGCTGCTGTTCATACTCTGTCAGGGAGGGAAGTGACACAGGAAGTCACAAAAATGAACGGGTGAATGGGGTTGTGACCTGTCTGTGCATTGTGTCAGGGGTGTAGGCATCACAGGACTGCCTGTACAGATTAACACATTTATCGGCAGGTAAAACCATAACATATATGGATTTCAGTGCTTGCCTGGTGTTCTACATCATAACGGGCACATTGTTTTCAGCATCACTTTGTCTAATTTTTGGTTTGTCTTATCGATGGGGTGATTGCCACAGTTCTGTATAAGTTATTTGGAAGATAATCAGCCTCGGAGAATCAAAATTCCCCAACAGGGTGCTCCCTCCCTCCAGCAGTCAGAGACGGAGGCTGCCAAAGTCAGGACAGCTGTGTTTGAACATGATGGTGATAGCTGATTGTGGCCCCAAGGAAGGGCCAGATGCATTTGTTTAAGGAGCAGGAAGTTTGCCCAATTAGCTTCATTATTCTGATGTGATCAGAGCCCCATGTTTGGCTCATCAGGTCACATGGGGTTTGTAAATTTGCTTACATAATCATCAGGCAGCGCTCCCCTTGCTGGATTCCCACGTCGGTGTAACAGGACGCTGCATTTGGGGTTTTTTTTTACTTTTTTTTGCACTAATTTGTTCTTAGCTGAAGGTTTTCTTTTGAGAAATGGATGTGAGGCTCTAATAACTGAACAGACTCTCCCAATCCTTCCTCCTCCCAGCATTCAGACTCTCTCCTCTTTACACCATCAGATCTTTCCACTTCAGACCTGGAGGGGCAGCAATGGGTTGGGAGTAAGACATATTTAAGATCCCAAAAGTATTAAACGCTAAAACCTTTAAGTAATCCACATCATACAAATATACACTATATTGCTAAAAGTCTTGGGACACCCCCCCAAATCATTGGATTCAGTTGTTCCAATCGCCTCCATGGCCCCCGGTGTATAGGATGAGGCACCTCGGCATGCAGACGCTTCTACAAACATTTGTGAAAGAATGAGTCGCTCTCTGGAGCTCAGTGACTACAAGCGTGGTAAAGTGATAGGTTGTCACCTAATGCTGGGTTCACACCTAGGCGTATTGCAAAAGCGCGTCTGTCGCGCGGGTTTTTACCGCGATTCCAAAGGCTACTTGGCTGTATCCCAATGGAAAACGCCCTACAAAACGGCCCAAAGTAGTCCCGGGACCTTTTCAGGCGTGGGCCGTTTTGTAGAGCGTTAGGGACGGGCGGAAATACGCCTAGGTGGGAACGAGGGCATTGACTACAATGCTATTTATTTTTTTGACCGTTTTGTAGAGCGTTCGTCTAGCGTAGGACGCGCTACAAAACGGTCAGGTGTGAACAAGGTCTTAAACCTTGTGAACACCTTCCCAGAAGAGTTGAAGCTGTTATAGCGGCAAAGGGCGGAGCCAACTCAATATTGAACCCTACAGACAAAGACTGGGATGTCACTAAAGTTCATGTGCATGTAAAGGCTGGCGTCCCAATAATTTTGGCAATATAGTGTACATCACCCAGCAAAGTATTTCCTTACATTTTTGCCTAATCGCTTAAAATCATAACAGCTCCAACTCTCTCAGTTCAGCTTCCCTGAACTTCCTGTGCTCTAGAAGCTCACAAGGGACAGCATAGTCTCCAGCAGCTCTCCATCTACTACCTTAGGGAAGGACGGAGGTGTATTGCCTTGCCTTGCTGTGCTGATGTGTTTGAGGACACACACACACACCTTAATAGCACACACAAGGGTGGTTCCAATGAACCCTGCAAGGGATAACAAATGGCTGGAACCAAGTCATAATTTGATATTTACACTTGTTGCATTTAGGACCTTCCAGAGAGCTGTGGACCATAACTTGAAGCTGTAGTTTTTTGTAGGTACGGTACTTTGTTAACTTGTCATTAAAGAGGAACTTTTACCCTTGTCTTCAAAATAACAACAACTTCACCTTTTTTAGACATGTTCAGTAATGACAATCTAAACACACATACTTTGAGATAATTGCCCATTCTTCTGACAGTGGCCATTTTTACTAAGGGCAGAATAATATCTCTCCCTTTACTTCCTGGAACAGGACATAGGACATCATCTCAGGGGAGGAAAATGCCTTTCCCTGAGATCTCATGAGATTTCCCAGCAATGCTCTGCTGATGTAACCTTCCCAGGATGCAACACTTGGGCACAGATTACATTGATAATGAGAGGACCAGGAAGTGGGGGGAAAAAGAAATTGTTAGTAAAGTAAAAATATGTTTAGCTAATGAATATGAAATGATTTCATATCGGCACGCAGAGCTGTATGCTGATGTGATTTTTAGTCAAAGGTGGTAAAGGTTTGCTTTAATGTTTGTTAAAAAAACCCCAAAGAAACTGGTGACTCCACAGTCAGTAATTATTCAGCAGGCCGCCTTCTCCAGTTGAAGCATTATTATTATTATTGAGTATTTATATAGCGCCAACAGTTTGCGCAGCGCTTTACAATATAGGGGAGACATTACAATCACAATACAAGTCTAGACAAGATGGTAAGGAAGGCCCTGTCCCTGAGGGCTTACAATCTAAAAGGGAGGGGGAAGTGATACATGAGGAGGGATATACAATATTGTGCAAGGCCTCGCGGAGCCCTGGAGGTTAACCACTGCACAAGGCTGTTGCCGGACAAGTCACGATGAAGCCATCCAATTGTATGATCTTCGCTTTGCTGTTTCCTTGGAAGTGGAATGATCATTTTGAGATTTGAGCTTCATCACCCCTTTCATTAGGACGAAATTGTGACACCGCTGTGGAGCTGTTGATGTAAAATGAGGGCAGTTTGTTGGGATTGGCCTGACTCACTGAACCCCACACCCTGTAGAGGGTGAGCACATTGGATGACTTGTTTGCTTGCCAAACTATTAAGCAACACCGTGAAAACAGAAAGTGCAGTCACGGGAGGTTGAAAGGCGTGACTCACACTGAAGTGATGCGTGTCGAGGAACCAGTCTTGTTCTCGCAGTGTCACGTTTGTTTAGACACCCATCTGCTGATTGGGAATCGCCATTCCTTTTAGATTAATCCCGGAGCCCAGCAGGGCAGAGTGTTTACCGACGGAGACAAAGCTGCTTTGTGTAGCAAGCCGCTTGCTTTCTATTACTGCTGCTGACATCTGTCCAGTGTCACGGGGTGCAACGTTCTACAGAGTTAGTCCAAAGGCAGGCTGGTGTCATTTCAGCAAGTGCATTACCAGGGCTTGAAAAATTTTAGGGTGTCTCACCAGTCGGTCAAAAATTTCACCATTCAGCATGACCGGACTAGACCACAACATGACCGCAATTTATGTAAAAAAAAAAAATTTCAGGACAGATGGAGCTTTCTTTTGGAGGTATATAATCCCCCCGGGGGTTTTTTAAAAAATAAATCTTTTCCGAAGTTATCTTAGAAAACATTTTATTCTTACCCATATTTTTGGTAAAATATAAAAGACGGGGTCACGTCGGGTACATATTACAGTCCATGTACCCATTGCACTCCTAGGGCTGTGCAAATTAACGATTAATTTCTCGATTTTATCGTTAATCTTTTTGATCGATTAAAAACAATTTGATCGATGAAAATTTTTTTGAAACTTTCTGCACGAGCTCCAGCCAAGGCATTGGCCTATACACATACAGCACAGCAATGAAGTAATAAAATGAACTAGGATCACACTAATCCAGCACGTTATTAATCAGAGTTGCCCCACTCAAGCGGCGGCCATATTGAGTGGGGCACGTGAGATTAATAACGCGCTGGATTAGTGTGATCCTAGTTCATTTTATTACTTCATTGCTGTGCTGTATGTGTATAAGCCAATGTAGTTGGATCTGTATGTGCGTTATAATTAATCGATTTAAAAGAATTTCGATTAATCGAACACTGAAATTTTAATCATTAACAGCCCTAATTTATTGATGTACATGCAAAAGAAGTAGCATAGCACACTCAGTGCGACGTTTCTGGGTCATGTAGGATCCCCTTCATCAGGAAGAAAAAAGTTTTTTATTTTTTTTTAATTTTTATTTTTTTATGCTTTATTGCTATCACATGGGGGCTAAGAATCCCCCTACGTGATAGCCAATTTACATGACGGGTCCTCTTTGTGGAGACATCAGGGGTCTCCAAGACGAGAGGATGAGTGAATTTTCAAGCCCTGAGGATATAGATTGTTCTATTTGTCATCAGAGTACAATCTTCTACAGGATTACTGGCCATGTTATTTCCTCTTTAGTAGATAATCCGTAAGTGTATAGTCCTATCCACCCTGTTACAATTCCGTTATACATCTCTAAAGAGGACCTGTAGCTTTTTAGGCAAAAGCTTTATTAGTAATTTTTGTTTCTGAACAAAATACAGTGGAAGGCAACCTGATGGAAAGGGGTAGGAGAGGGAGTCAGACTCATGAAACTGTTATCGGCTTCTAAGGCGCACTTGGATACAGCCGTCAAGAACAGAAGTTGGGCATCAGAAATACAAGTATGATGATGCAGCTTGTGTGTCCGGTCAAGTAGCTGCCCAGGAGTCCGGACTGAAAAACATGGATTTCATGGAGCAATAGACTAGCAGTGGTGAGGAAGAAAGTGGTTGACAGTCTTCACCTGCAAGTGTTGGTAGTCATTAGGGATGCACCGATAACTGGTACGAGTATTTGGGCGAGTGCTCATACTTGCTCAGATGCCGCAACTTCAGGTCAGAAGGAGTTTCCCTCTGACCGACAGTGCCTTGAGGGATCATGGAGCCGCAGGGGCCTTACCCGGCTTCCTGAATGGCTAGGAAGCGGGCTAATGCTGCCTAGCGACACTGCGAGACAGCCTGGCGTCATGACCCGTCGCTCAGCTTCCTTGATTGGTCAGGAAGCCAGGCTGCCTCGCAGTGTCACCAGGGAGCATGAAGCCAGTGTTCTTTCGATTTAGAACACCGGCTTCCTGATTAGCCGGGCTCACGGTACCTCGGGATGCCAGTATCAGTATTCTTATCAGCGGGGGGGAAAAAACATCGGTACTCGATACCGGAATAAACGGTATCGGTGCATCCCTAGTAGTCATTCACAGGTAGGTCATATAGGTTGTCTACAGTGGAAGTGAGTTAGAAAGTCTGATGCTTTAGAATACAAACCTACACGTCTTTGTGTGAAGAAAGGAGTCTGATCTGTTGTCGCTGTCTCTTTCTATCAGGCGCTCTGGCGTCTTGATGCCCAAGACGCCAGAGATGGTGTGTCCATCGATTTCCAGTATCTGTAAACCAGTGGAGTAAGCAGCAACAAAACAATGTTGTAGGGTGTCCATTTGTTATGCATCTGAAGGAGCCAAGGAGCGACCTGTAGCTTTTTCAGTATTGTTTGAGTGGGAACTTCATAGTTGCAAAGGTACGAGGTACCCAGGTATGCTAGATTGACTTTCATATACTTGAGAGGAAATCCATATTGCCACGTCTAGCAATTTACAGCCATTCAGTTTCCCCATTTTGTTTTAACCCCCCCCCCCCCCCCCCCCCCCACTCGCCCCCCCCATTGTGCGGTCAGGATGTGGTTGGTTTCTATGAGGAGGGGCAGTCGTCGGGTTACACAATGCCTCTCCTCCGTGCCACCAGATTCGCCTTCAGATTGATGTCATTGAGCTTGATTTTAACTGGCAACTTTTTTTGGTATAGTGTGTATGAGTGTTGTTGGGTTTTGTTTTTTATTGCTGGAGACCTAGCTTCTTTATATCCTCGTGTCTGTTGTCACTCGGACTGAAAGTAAGGAAAAATCCAAAATTAGAGTTGTCACTGGAACAGGAATAGAGGGGGAAATCTTTCAGCACAGACATGTGTTTTGGTATCAACTGTACGAAGGGTAAAGAGAACACAGCAAAAAATTAAACTTGATGGGTTTTATTCCTTCCCTGCTCTATACACAACTAAAAAAAGTGTTGGCTTTGGATCACTTCTGGTTTTTGGTGAACCTCCCTAGAAGAAAGATGGCCTGATTGGACAATGCTTTATGGGTGATTTTTAAATCTCCTAGATAATTTAGCAGGCAGCGTGAGCTATGCTTGTGCCTTGTCCCTAGTAAGATCTGGTAGATCCCAATCTTCTACCCCTAGAAGAAAGGAAATCCAGCCAAGTTGCACACCTCGCAGCTCCTCGATGGCCCGTTTTCCTTGGTATGACAATGCCTGTCAATGAGTGTGGAACGTATACTCCTCACCCTTTCCAGTTGTCAGAGTGGTGGTAAAGATTTCCTACTATGCTATTCAGAACCCCCAGGCGAAACCTTGACCCTGTCTCTTGTCATTGCAGATTAGTCGCATCGAGTACATCCATTCCAAGAACTTCATTCATCGAGATGTCAAGCCAGATAATTTTTTAATGGGTCTCGGTAAGAAAGGGAATCTGGTCTACATCATAGACTTTGGCCTGGCGAAGAAATACAGAGACGCCCGCACACACCAGCATATACCCTACCGTGAAAATAAAAACTTGACCGGCACCGCAAGATACGCCTCCATAAACACTCACCTGGGCATTGGTAAGTTGGGGAACCTTTCTTTTTGCTGTATACCTTTTTTTTTTTTTTTTTGTATACAGATAACTTTCTGAACTCTAGGCAATGATGTATTTCTGTATTCCATTCAGGTAATGTAGAGACAGGCCTGAGCTATTATCAGTTGCAGTTTGAAACGAGGTTTGTGGCGATGGGTACTCGTACAGTTCATGAGGCGCTATACTGAGCACTTTTTGCTCATAAAAGGCAATCAGAGGACAAAGTCCCCATTACCTGTACCGCTGATCTCCTGATTGCCACCTCACCATGCTTCTGTTCTGCCCGCTCTCTGCGTGGAAGCAGCTATCTTGGTAGAGGAGCGGGGCTTTTTATTAACATTGGAGCATTCCACAGAATGATGCAAGGTGCACCGCAGGTCCTCATGGACAATGTTCTCTCCAGCAGGTCCTCAAAGCAGTGTGCAGCACAGTAGTGATAGACTAAATCTTACTACAAATCTGGTAAGACTAGCAGTCCTAGGCAGCAGTGCCTGAGGAGATTGCACACTGCAGGTATTCATCTATTAGGTTATAGAGCAGTGCCTAGGCTGAGTCACATATTAGAAAGCACCCTCACATTTTTGGGGAGAAATACAAGATAAGTTGCATTTTAAGTTCAGGTCCAGTTTAAGGTGCTCCCAATTTTTATTGGTAAATTGGGAAAACCATGCAGATTTTACCTTTCCTGAGTGCCTAAAGTCCAATTACACCGTCAGGGTTTTTTGCATAACTATACTGCTAGCAAGCTGTAGATTTATGCAAGAACATGAAGAACAAAAAGGTACAAACTTACCTGTGTCTCCGCTGCGCGCTCCCGTCCGAAGTTGTGAAGACTTGTGGGTGGCCATGAAGGATGATGGGACAGGTGCATGCGCAGTAGAGATTTGCGACCGGAAGAAGAGATACGCAGGGTAAGTCAATGCAAGCAGCGCGCACGCACACAGACACCGTGAGGAAGACACAGCAGTCAGCGCTGGATCAGAGACCAGCGCTGGAGGGACTCCTGAAAACTACAGGAAAGAAGAAGATCGAATCAAGGGGTATCATTTAAAGCAAGTCCTTAAAGCAGCGGGGGGAGGAAAAAAAGAATGTGACTTTAATGTCACTTTTAGTCCCATGTCTAATCCCAGTGTTGTAATAAAATAAATTAATTATTATTATTATTATACAGGATTTATATAGCGCCAACAGTTTGCGCAGCGCTTTACAATATAAGGAAGACATAACAATCACAATTCCAGACAGGATAGTAAGGAGGCCACTGCCCCTGAGGGCTTACAATCTAAAATAAATGCAGGAGAAAGTTTGAAGCCAATCAGATGAGCAGGTAATGACCCTTCTAGGAGAGACCTGCACTGCAGCCTTTTCATAAGGAACATTTCATTACAAAAAGACTCGTGCAGCAATTCTTGTTCTCTTTGTAAAGAGTTCTTTTTTGTAGTCCTGTAAGACTGGCACACGGGCTGGAGCTGGGGAGGAAGGAGATTGCACATATCTTAAATGAGGAAGTCTAGGCTGTCTAGCTATAGCTGAGCGTCTTAGCAGGTGGAACGGAAACAAGTAGTGAGCTCGGATCATCGTCGCCATGTATTACTTTTTTAGATGATCAGACTGTCGCAAAATGCGGAACTTGTAGGTTTGCCAAGGAAGGTGATGGTACATGAAGGGGATTGGGTGATCCCCTTTCAGGCATATAGAACTTGTAACTGTGAAAGATTGCTTTTTACTAGTAAAAGAATGTGCAAGCCTTTTTTTTTTTTTTTTGCAAACTTTTTAAACCTTTCTGGTCCACAATTCCTATATTAACCGGGCAGTATGCTGAGAATACATTAAGAATTGCATTCCAACCAAGCAGCCAATACATTGTTTGGTTCTCAGCGCTCAAACCCAGCTGTCACTGGCAGCTCACGTTCCCACCTAAAAACTAATCCCCATGGCTCCTGATCATGTGATTGTTAGGTCAGCTGAGACCATGACAGGAGGTGTGCATCAGTGTAAAGAAGTACTCCGGGCACGTAAAATCTTAACCCTTGCAGCGGGGCTGTTCCTGCACTTAAAGGGTTAAGTGCTCTTTTTCAACCCTATTGCAAGGGTTAAGATTTTATTTGCCTGGAGTGCTTGACCATTTAACTGCTGACCTTTAATGAGGGTAACAAATGTCTTAACCATGTAAATCCACAGAAAAGCTGTAGGCACCCACCATGTGTGACCCTTTCCTGAGGGATTCACGTGTGACCCTTTCCTGAGGGATTCACGTGTGACCCTTTCCTGAGGGATTCACGTGTGACCCTTTCCTGAGGGATTCACGTGTGACCCTTTCACGAGGCGAGTGGATTGTTATTTACTGTACAGCATTCTAATAGTTTTCCCTTTTTTCTCCATGTAAGAACAATCTCGCAGGGATGATCTGGAGTCTCTCGGTTACGTGTTAATGTATTTCAACCTGGGCTCCCTTCCATGGCAAGGACTGAAAGCCGCCACCAAGAGGCAGAAATATGAACGCATCAGCGAGAAAAAGATGTCAACGCCCATTGAGGTCTTATGTAAAAGTTACCCTTGTAAGTTGTGCCGGGTCACCCGGAGTGGCCGTTTTTATTTTGCTATTGGAACATGAAAAAAATGTGGGAGGAGAGCGCTGTGAGCGGCCGGTGTCTCCTTCCACACCGCTATCGCAGTCCGCCAGAGCAGTGTGGGGCCGGAGACAGCCCGCGCTGTCACATAAGGCCTGGCTCTCCTCCCTGCTCCGCTCGCTCAGCCTCCTGTCAGCGTATCGGAGAGGAGAGCGAGAGCAAACACTCGGAGATCAGTGATCGCTGAGTGTTTGTACATAATTGAGGACATGGTATGTTGACTTTATCCTCAATTATGAATGAATGGGAAGTGATCTACATCACCTCCTGTTCATTCATGGTTGTAGTTATAGTAAACATACTCTGTCCTCATGTTATGAATGAACAGGAACAGTCAGTATAGAGGAGTCCTGTTCATTGATAACAGAGGCTGCAGTAAGAGATTGAGGACTCTGTGTCCTCAATCTCTTCTATTTTAAAAGGGAAATATCAGGGATTTGTTTAGACCCCCAATATTTCCCCAAAGCCCCTAAAAGTAAAAAGCAAAAATGATTTAATACAAAATTAATAAATAAATATAAAAAAATTTAAGTTTATAAAAAAATAAAATATTTAAAAAAATGTGACCACTGTCAGAATACATGAACAGTCACTGCTGCTGATAGGTTGGCCTAAAATTCATATTTACCATTAAACACAATTTGTTATATCTGTTAAGTGCAAAAATAAATACCTGTTGATCATGTCAGAAATCTTGCAAGTTGATAACTTACCATGTGCTCTATGTCTGTCCACTGTGAACTATAAAACACCTCCCGTTATGTTGTGGAGGTGAGGAGACTGTCATTCTGTATGTCTGCACACCGTGCATGCAAAACTACCCTTTAAAGTAAGAAGTGCTGGACAACAGATTGGGTCTGAGGGGCACAGCCAGCCAGTGCTGGAGGGATTATTGCAAAGAAAGCTGCATGGACAGTTCTTAGACCTGCTGGGTATTCTATACAACATGTGGAGTTGTGCTTTAATGTGTAAATTGTCGTATCAGTAACGTGTTCCTGCTCTGAAATGACTCTCCTGTTTTGGCTTTTTAAAACATTTCTTATGTGCGCCATTTTTTTTCTCTTCTTTTCAGCGGAGTTTGCCACCTACCTGAACTTCTGTAGGTCTCTACGTTTCGATGACAAGCCAGACTACTCTTACTTGAGGCAGTTATTCAGGAATCTGTTCCACCGTCAAGGCTTCTCCTACGATTATGTGTTTGACTGGAACATGCTGAAGTTTGTGAGTAAACTACTGTATTGCGTTGTGTCCTGAGTGTGCATATTTGTGCGGCAGCTTCACTACAGAGCTAAGATGGCGCTCGGGGCAAAGAATCTGGCTGCCCTTAGTGAGGTGGTGTGGAGGCGGAGGCAGCTGTCACAGGAGACTGGCCCAGCGGTACAGGGGAGCAGTCGGCTGTCAAAGGAGACCGAGCGCTCCTTCCCACACCGCTCGCTCAGCCTCCTGTGACAGCTGTCAGGATGGAGAGCGGGTACAAGCAGTGAGTGATCAGTGATAGCTGTGTGTACATAATTGAGGACAGTATGGTTACTATATCCTCAATAATGAATGGGAAGTGATCTACATCACCTCCTGTTCATTCATGATTGTGGATATAGTAAACACACACTGTCCTCATGTTATGAATGAACAGGAACACTCAGTGTAGAGGATTCTTGTGTTCATTTATACCGGGGGCTGCAGTAAAAAGAGATTGAGGACTCTGTGTCGCAAAAATACTTTTTTTGCTTTAAAAGGGAAATATTAGGGGTCACCGCTCCAAGCTCGCTCCCGGGATGGACTACAATCTCATGTTTAGTTTACTAATTTGTATTGAGATTGTAATCTATCCCAGAAGTAAGTTTGGAGCGGTGACTACTTTACAATACACACAGGGACCGTGGGGGAACAAAAGTATCCCCCCCCTCCAGAAGGAAGGACAGTGTCAGCACCAATTCAGAGATGATTTGAGGACCTACAGCCGAGTGATACACAAATAGGATACATTGTTGATAATAATTAAGGTACCTGAATGTATTAAGATTTCACTCCTGAGCTTAGTGCCACTTGAAGCCTATGTGAGCAAAGTCTTCGAGACACTATCCTTGCCCATTTTGGGTGAAGTGACAGTGACTTTTTAAAGGCCCCTCTCACCTGTTACACTCACCATATCAACACTCCTCCTAAGGTAAGGCGAGTATAACTGGGTCAGTTGAACCCTTAACAAACACACTGTCACTTTTCCCGGCATGGGCAAGGTGACAACGTTTTGTTTTTTTTTGTTTTTTTTTTAAAGCACACACTTGTACTCTTTTGTTCTGTTTTTGTTTTACTGTAATAATGGGAATATATGGAGTGATGTGCTCTTATGGAGTAAAAGTACATGTATACAATACAAATTAGATAGAGCTATATAGATATATACGCACACACACACACACACACACATGGATCAGAACACGGTGCTGTTTTTGACTGATTGCTTGTCTCATTTACTAGGGGGCAAGTCGTGCTGCTGAAGATGCAGAACGTGAACGGAGAGAGCGGGAAGAGCGCCTGAGACACACACGGAACCCCGCAGTCCGAGGACTGCCCTCCACGGCTTCAGGTAGACTAAGAGGCACCCAGGAAGTCACTCCACCCACTCCTCTCACTCCAACCTCCCACACAGGTATGGTGGGACCGCTGCCATCTCTCTACCAGTTTTCTTGTTTGTCTATTGTTAAAAACTAGAGGAAAGTGATGTGTTCTGTTCATAACTATAAGCCCTCCTATGCAGACATTTGTGTGTGTGAATGGTGGGGGCCAAGAGGAGATTCGTGTGAAGGCTTTAAACCTGTTGGGGCTAACGGTGCTTAATGCAGTTTTTAGTTCTCTTCAATGATAGTCTGATCAAAGTAAACCTGCACTGAGGAAGTATGGACGCTGGTATTGCTGTTCTCCTGAAATTGCTAGTTGCCTGGCTGTCGGGATGATTCAGTGGCTTCAACAAGTTCTAACAGACTTTTCTGATCTACATGATTGTTGATGTATTGACGCTATAGCCAGCCAGGCCACTAGACATTTCAGAAGGTCAGGAATGACGGACTACATATTCCACTCAATATAAGTTTTCTGGACAGTGTATGTCTAAAAATGTACATCCATGATCCAAAAGTAGCTTGCTGCTTTTTTAACCCCTTAAGTACACTTTCGCTGCCAGGGCCTTTTTTTCATTTTCTTTACACCTGTTGTTATTATCCACATTTTAGGCCTGACAATTGCTTCAAACCCCCAAACATATATTTTCTGAAAGACGAGACCCTTTAGAATTAAATGGCGACAGTTGCAAATTTTTATGTTGCGCAATATTAGCACAACTCTTTATCAAACCCAAAAATTAAGTAAAAAGAATGCACTCAAGTTAAAGTGACATTAAACCCTCAGATTTTTTAACATAAAACAATACTGTAATGTGCGCCTTACTGTAATCCATGGTTGTTTCCCTTCTCTTTGCTGCTCTTCCTTTTTAAATCCTCATGTCTTCTCATGCGCGGGAGAACTTCCCTTTGCAGCTCAGTGCCTCTTCCTGTAGTGCTGGCTCAGGTTGCAAACCTACACACAGACACCGTGTATCCATTCCAGAGACAAGGCAGTCTGCTGCAAAACAGAAGTTCTGCCCAGCATGAGAAGACATGAGGATTTAAAAGGAAGAGCAGCAAAGAGAAGGGAAAACCATGGATTACAGTAAGGCGCACATTACAGTATTGGTTTATGTAAAAAAATCTGAGGGTTTAATGTCACTTTAAATTTAGTGCCCCAAAACACAATATAATACCCATTTGTTTTGTGAAATAAAACATGAGCTGCTTACGACAAGTAAATACCCAACATGCCCGGGTTAAAAACTGTGGGGGTCTGTGAAACTGCAACATAATTCAGTACCCCAAAAAGTCCATAGATGACGCTTTAAGAGCCCCTACAGGTCATCACTTTAGAGATTTGTGTAAATACTGGCCCTAGAATTATTGCGCTCTCTCTCTCTGGCGTGTGCGGCGATAGCACATTCTACATTTTCGTACGTAGGCGCACCCAACACGGGGTTATGTGCTCGCGGGGGATTTAAAAAAAAAAAACAAATTCAATTACTTTTACATTTTATTTTATTTTTTAGATTTTTTTTAAAACGTTTATTTTTTTACTTTAACTGCTATCACATAGCGGGGCTTACAAGACCCCCATGTTATGGCATATTGGTGGTGACAGGTCCTCCTTTTAAGGCGATGCTGGACCCACCGTGTCCCCTTTGCACTCTAAATAATCGCACTTCAGTAGCTTATTGCTGGGCTTCAGGAGCCGAGCAATGACAGCTCAGGGACTGGAAGTGATGCAATACGCGCCTCCCGCATAGAACGGGGAGGAGATCGGTGAACGGATGTTCCACACTCTTCTCCCCAGCTTCCCGCCGACACCCGAGATGCCAGTCCCAGGCCGGCAGGAGGGGCAGCGAAGCCCGGTAAACGGGCAGGCACTTTACCGGCCTGTAGAAGCGATCTGGCAGCAGCTGACCTGCCTGAATCGCTCAATTGTAAAGCCAGCCGGCTGTACAGATGTATATGTACGTCACAACTGAGATCTGAATCTCTCACGGTTGGGTTTATAGCGCCACCTTCAGGAATAGGATGCTGTAGGAGATTCAGATCTCAGCTGTGTACTTCAGTGAACGCAGAGAATAGGATTTTACAGCTGGTACAAAAATCCTTTAATAGCATATTTGAAAAGAAGCAAGTCTTCTTTATTCTAGATTTGCTGCTCGGGCCAGCACGTGGCGAGATCTTCCATGGCACGTGGTAAGATCTTCCATGGCAGACTCCTCGTGAGAGAGAGAGGAGTAGGTGTGACAGATGTGCTGCGTAGTCCTTGCTGGAGAGAAGGCTGCAGTGCAATGATCTTCCTGGTTCTTTTATTGGTTCTGTGCTTCCGCCACTTCTGCTGCTACTTGCTCATTATCCCAACAGTACTCAGGGGGCAGCTCTGACATGAAGAATCAAATTCTTGTCCTATACCAAGCTGGCCACCTTCATGTGAACAGTGTGCCGAACAAGGCATGGTATGCCAGCAATAGGGAGAAGATAATGTGCAGGGAGACCTATACAGGTGACTAGTCCTTTTCCCTTTGACTGCCTTGTCTGGACACAGCTTCCATAGCTCAGGTCCTCTGCAATCACACAGTGTTGGATGCCATTTCTTTTGGTAGTATAGCCATATACAGCACTGAAGTATATTGTGGTCCTTGGAAAGCTCTTTTTGATGATGGTTTAACATGCTCTGCCTCTTCTTAAAATCTGTTGCAGCAAACACTTCCCCCCGACCTGTTTCTGGCATGGAGCGCGAGCGGAAAGTCAGCATGAGGTTACATCGCGGCGCTCCTGTTAACGTGTCGTCCTCTGACCTTACCGGCAGACAAGATACCTCCCGCATGTCAACCTCACAGGTACAGCCTGGGACCTTCCGGGGCTTGAGGGGGCAATAAGTCGCTTCTGCTTCTAAGCTTGCTGCCAGCAATGCTGTCCTCTATTTTTATTTTCCGGGTTTGTTCGGATGGAGGCGGTATAAATATTGGGGGCAGTCTCCACCTTTTATGCATAATTCTATCCATTCATGGGAGCAGCAAATGAGGCCAGCAAACATGACTTTAAATGTCGCAAACTCTCCTGCAAACCAGGACACTGGTTTCTGTGCTGGTTTTGTGATATGCAGCTTATCATGAAGTCATCGCTTGGCACATTGGGGCCTTTTTGTTATTTTTTTTTGGAAAACGGCGAGCTGTTGCCCATAGTGGGCAACAAAAAAAAAATCCTTTTTTCCCAGTGCAGGTCAGAGAGTGAAAGATGAAACCTGATTGGTGGTTGTCATTTTTTGTTTCATTATTATTATTTTTTGCTTTGCTGCATTCTTTAAAATATATAAAAGCTCAGGTTACTAAAACATGATTATCATATTCTCAGCCACTCCCATGAAATCCATGGACAGCACTGCCTTGCACATCAAATGACAGTATGTGTGTCTGGTATAAGCGTATGGGGATGCAAATAAAATTTGCTACAGGTTTTGGACATGTGGACCTCAAACCGCATTGGGGGGAATTTAGCAAAAACTGGAGCAAACAAAATCTGCGGCAGATTTGCACTTGAACCAATCGGCTTCTCTGTCTCATTTTCAAATCTTTCCTGAGCAAACTGAAGAGAGATGCTGATTGCCATGGGCAACTGCTTCATATTCTGTCTGCTCCAGTTTTGATAATTTGATTCCCCCATTGTTTCTGGAGAACTCCAGTCTGGCCTATTGACTTAATTGAGTAGGTTTGGGCTATCTGACCTTGGCCATGGTAGGAAAGGACCTAAGCACTTCGATCAGGTGATCGATCGCTCTTTGTACGTACCTTCTATAGAAACCCCTTAGTCCTTCATGTTCACCTTCACATCCACCTGTCCATTGTATCGGTGCATCACTAATATAGTTATATATTTACATACATACATACATACATACATACATACATACATACATACATACATGCTGCAAATTGACACAGTTATGCCTGGCAAAGTGTCTGCCTTTTATCTTTCCCCCATAGACTCTGCATTGATCTGTTCATCCTGCTGCTCTGTAGTCCGCAGACGATGCAGAATAAGCCCCCCCACCCCTGCCATTTAGGTGGAAATAGTTAACCCTATGATGGGGAACCATGACTTGGAAATGCCTGGTGCAAGCATAGCCTGTGTCCTGCTTTGCACCTAGAACCTCCAGTGTGCCCTGGGTTATGAGACATGCTGGAGTTTGCAGTCCTTTTGACAACTGTGGGACTGTGTAGGACGGTAACTTACCTGTATGCAAACTGTTATTTGCATCCCCATTGAGTGCATGTGATGCAGCAGGTGATTCTTTTTAAGATAGATTTAGAGTGAGAATCTGAGGGTGTGGGCTGGTACATGGTATGGTGACATGAGAGCATGCTATGGGAGGCTGGGGTAGGGATAAGTTGCTACCGGCAATGAAAGGATCTCCTGAGAAACTCCATTCAAACGTTTGTCACTGGAAAGCAACATGGAGTCCTCTCGGAGATCCTCCAATTCTCAGCCACTGCTTCACACTTCCTTCTGGCTGGCGCTCTGGGTGTATGCTAGAACACACAGCGAATGTACATCTTGCTCACAGTAAACTCTCTGCTGGGTTTTTGGGGCAGTGACAAGCGGCTGTCTTTTCCCCACCTCAGAATAGCATTCCTTTCGAACATCATGGCAAGTAGCTGCTCGCCCCATTCTCGGCTGAAGGCAGCACTGGGTGAGTCTTGTTTAGAAAGCATCCCTATGAATTGCAGCCATTTCACCTTAAAATTATACACATTGAAGTCCAGTGATATATATTCAAAGATACCTAAACCCAAGAGTAACATGTAATATATTGCAGCTTACCAATCATCGGTGCAGTGGCTGCATTCCTCTTCATTCTACATTTTCTAGAAGGACAGCTACCTGTTATCCTGCACTGAACTGGTATATCAAACAATGTTATCTTGATTTCCCAGCTGTCCTCTGTGGACTCCAAGACAATGCCTGCCTATGTAATAGAGGGTGAGAGAGAGGGGTTTGTAGTACAATCAGGAGAGTCACCTAGGGTGACAACGCTAGTCCTCCATAGATACAGTGCTGTGTTTGAGCGTTGTCACCCTAGGACAGGAGGTGTTACAGACAGGGCCGTCAGGCGAAACTAAATGCAGGCATGACATCTAAGGACTGGTTCCCTTCAATATATTACATTTTTGTTTTTGGGTTTAGGTAAACTTGAGGTGTATTTATCTGAAATGGGCCACTTTTATAGGTTGTCTTATTTAAAAAAAAAAAACTACTAGAATACCTTTTAAAAACTGCACAAAAGTGTACTCACAGCAACCAATCAGATTCTAGAAGCCTTGCCTATAGGATGATTGACACCAAGAAGTCTCCTCCCCTCCAGGTTCTATCCTGCCAAGCAAGGAAAGGCCATTTGCCTAATGTTAGGTGGAGGTGAAGATAGGTGTAGACCTTTCCTCTGACTTTAATGTGAACCTCTATGTGAAAATTCCATTTACTCGGAGCAGAGCAAAGGTTCACTTAAAAGCCCAGCTATAGCCACACATGTTAGAAAACAGCACTGCCTTGCACATCAAATGACAGTATGTGTGTCTGGTATAAGCGTATGGGGATGCAAATAAAATTTGCTACAGGTTTTGGACATGTGGACCTCAAACCGCATTGGGGGGAATTTAGCAAAAACTGGAGCAAACAAAATCTGCGGCAGATTTGCACTTGAACCAATCGGCTTCTCTGTCTCATTTTCAAATCTTTCCTGAGCAAACTGAAGAGAGATGCTGATTGCCATGGGCAACTGCTTCATATTCTGTCTGCTCCAGTTTTGATAATTTGATTCCCCCATTGTTTCTGGAGAACTCCAGTCTGGCCTATTGACTTAATTGAGTAGGTTTGGGCTATCTGACCTTGGCCATGGTAGGAAAGGACCTAAGCACTTCGATCAGGTGATCGATCGCTCTTTGTACGTACCTTCTATAGAAACCCCTTAGTCCTTCATGTTCACCTTCACATCCACCTGTCCATTGTATCGGTGCATCACTAATATAGTTATATATTTACATACATACATACATACATACATACATACATACATACATACATACATGCTGCAAATTGACACAGTTATGCCTGGCAAAGTGTCTGCCTTTTATCTTTCCCCCATAGACTCTGCATTGATCTGTTCATCCTGCTGCTCTGTAGTCCGCAGACGATGCAGAATAAGCCCCCCCACCCCTGCCATTTAGGTGGAAATAGTTAACCCTATGATGGGGAACCATGACTTGGAAATGCCTGGTGCAAGCATAGCCTGTGTCCTGCTTTGCACCTAGAACCTCCAGTGTGCCCTGGGTTATGAGACATGCTGGAGTTTGCAGTCCTTTTGACAACTGTGGGACTGTGTAGGACGGTAACTTACCTGTATGCAAACTGTTATTTGCATCCCCATTGAGTGCATGTGATGCAGCAGGTGATTCTTTTTAAGATAGATTTAGAGTGAGAATCTGAGGGTGTGGGCTGGTACATGGTATGGTGACATGAGAGCATGCTATGGGAGGCTGGGGTAGGGATAAGTTGCTACCGGCAATGAAAGGATCTCCTGAGAAACTCCATTCAAACGTTTGTCACTGGAAAGCAACATGGAGTCCTCTCGGAGATCCTCCAATTCTCAGCCACTGCTTCACACTTCCTTCTGGCTGGCGCTCTGGGTGTATGCTAGAACACACAGCGAATGTACATCTTGCTCACAGTAAACTCTCTGCTGGGTTTTTGGGGCAGTGACAAGCGGCTGTCTTTTCCCCACCTCAGAATAGCATTCCTTTCGAACATCATGGCAAGTAGCTGCTCGCCCCATTCTCGGCTGAAGGCAGCACTGGGTGAGTCTTGTTTAGAAAGCATCCCTATGAATTGCAGCCATTTCACCTTAAAATTATACACATTGAAGTCCAGTGATATATATTCAAAGATACCTAAACCCAAGAGTAACATGTAATATATTGCAGCTTACCAATCATCGGTGCAGTGGCTGCATTCCTCTTCATTCTACATTTTCTAGAAGGACAGCTACCTGTTATCCTGCACTGAACTGGTATATCAAACAATGTTATCTTGATTTCCCAGCTGTCCTCTGTGGACTCCAAGACAATGCCTGCCTATGTAATAGAGGGTGAGAGAGAGGGGTTTGTAGTACAATCAGGAGAGTCACCTAGGGTGACAACGCTAGTCCTCCATAGATACAGTGCTGTGTTTGAGCGTTGTCACCCTAGGACAGGAGGTGTTACAGACAGGGCCGTCAGGCGAAACTAAATGCAGGCATGACATCTAAGGACTGGTTCCCTTCAATATATTACATTTTTGTTTTTGGGTTTAGGTAAACTTGAGGTGTATTTATCTGAAATGGGCCACTTTTATAGGTTGTCTTATTTAAAAAAAAAAAACTACTAGAATACCTTTTAAAAACTGCACAAAAGTGTACTCACAGCAACCAATCAGATTCTAGAAGCCTTGCCTATAGGATGATTGACACCAAGAAGTCTCCTCCCCTCCAGGTTCTATCCTGCCAAGCAAGGAAAGGCCATTTGCCTAATGTTAGGTGGAGGTGAAGATAGGTGTAGACCTTTCCTCTGACTTTAATGTGAACCTCTATGTGAAAATTCCATTTACTCGGAGCAGAGCAAAGGTTCACTTAAAAGCCCAGCTATAGCCACACATGTTAGAAATTCCCACTTCACTAAAACGCAGTCACCTCACTTCTTTTCCTCGTGCTGCCATTTTAGGGTACAGAAATCTCCCACATGAGGGGGGCATAGTAATAAAAACACAAGGATCAAATGTTTCCTCTACAACTATAAGCTCCCCCTGTCGGTTG